CCTAGGCTGCCGCCGCCCCGCGCGCCCCCACGGAGCGCGGTTTACACTCCGCACAAAAAAAAACGTACACAAGTTTCGTGGTGCACACATGCCATGTGGCATGCACAGGCGCCACGGTTCACACTCCCATGATGTACACAGTCGCAATGGAGTACACAGGCGCTGTGGGCTCAACAGGTCCGAGCGCTTTTTGAACCAGAAAAACTAATATCCACAAGCAGCTCACATAATGAAAGGGCCACGGTTGGGCCCCGAGCGATCTTCTGGACTTTCGCTCCGCCGGTACCTTACAGGTGTACGCAAGCTTTGCGGTGCACGCTGGCATTCTGGTGCAAACACGGGGCGTTGAAACAGCAGCTGTGGTGCACGCGGGCGCCGTGGTGTGCACCAACAGTGAGATGTACAAGGGCGCTGTGGTGCACCCGCCTGTCATGATGTGCTCGGTCGCCGTGGTGCACACAAATGCCATTTCTGCCGCAGTTGTGGTGTACAATGGCATCGCGGTGTACAGAGCCTGTGTAGTGTGCGCAGGCACGGTCGGCTTCGACGACGACGACGACGACGGCGGCGACGACGACGACGACGACGACGACGAAGCCTACCGTGCCGACAGTTGTGCTGGTAATATGTACCAGGGCCCGTGCGAGGGCCCCGCCGCGCGTTACCGTTACCCCCAACTTGGGGCCGGACCCCCCCCCCCCCCCCGTAATGGGCGTTACCCCCCCCTGTAAAAAAAAAACCATGATGAGCGCGATGCACCAGCAGCGCGACTGGGGCTCCGCGTCGATCTTGTTGGATTTGTGGAAGGCCTTCGAGCAGACCCCCCATCGCGAGCTCATCGGTGCTTGCCTGAAATACAACTCCCCCCTGTGGCTAGCCAAGCTGCGGGCCGACCTCTGCAGGATGCCGAGGGTCGTCTGCTTGGAAGGATGCTGCTCCAACGGGCTGAGCGTGCTCCAGTCGGTGCTCGCGGGCGACGCCTTCGCCGCGACCTTCATGAAGCTCATGCTCCTTCAGCCGCTTGACGAGATGCGAGCCAAGCATGCGGCGGTCATCCCAGCGGTGGTGGTCGACGATTTGGTGCTGCAGCGCTGGGGCGGCAACGACAGGGTCGCAGAGGGTCTCACCGCTGGCGCCAAGGCGCTGGTCAAGGCGCTCGCCAAGATGAAGCTGAAGGTCGCAGCCAAGCAGTCGAGGATCGTGGCCTCGAACGCGAAGCTCATGAAGCGGCTCCAGGACAAGCTGTTCCAAAGCACTGGAGCGCAAGGGGCTGGGCACTCCCGGAACCTGGTCGTAGACCACACGGAGGTTGGCAAACGCAACGCGCAGGTGAGGAAGGACAGACTTAAGCACGCCAAGGCCAGGCTGCCACGCCTACGACGACTGCTGGGGCTTCGGAGAGGCCGGCAGGCCGCCGATAAGGGGGCGCGCGCAGGGCTCATGCCGAGCATCATGTCCGGGACGTCCTGCACGGGCTTGTCGGACTTCGAGCTGAAGCAGACGAGGTCCTTGATTTTGAAAGCGGTCGAGGCTCGGCCGCAGGGAACGTCCACTACCACCTGCCTCATGATAGGGGTCCCGAAGGAGATAGATCCCATCTACGGCGCTACTCTCCAGCCTGTCGGCACTTTGGCTAAGGCCGTCTAGGGGAAGTGGCCCTCGGATCAGCCAGCTCAGGGCAAGTTTCAATCACGCCAAGGACATCGCCAGGTGGGCCCAGGCGAAGGGGCCCATTGGGGCTGCTCTCACTGAAGCGACTCGGCTACGCGCTGCGCGACTTCGAGTTGTGAGCCATGCCTGACGGCAACGGGGTTTTGAATGTCGGCAACACGTCACCTGGGTTTTTCAAGCAGGTGCTCAAGCTCGACATTCAGCGGTGGCAGCTCCAGAACTTGGCCAAGGATACCCACGAGGATATCAAGCACGGGGCCTTCGTCAACCAGATCAGACGCTGGATCCACCACGGCAAGGGCACTTCGCCTGAGGGCAAGAAGTGGGGGCCGCTCACGGAGGCCCAGCGAGGCTATACCAGGTCTGTTTTGGTCAGGGCAGTGGCTTAATTCGCGGAGGTACGGCGCCTCCCCTCGCCTCGCGCCGACGCCTTACTGCAAGCACCATCCTGGTGTTGTGGGCACGCTGTGGCATCGGCGTCTGGGTTGCACGAGCAGCTGGCCCAGGTTAGTCCTGCCAGTGGAGCTCGAGAAGGCCTTCCAGACCAGCATCACCATCTCCACTCTGGTCGAGCGCCTGCTGCTACCAGAGTCGCAGGTTGTGTGGAGACCGCCGCTGGATAACTTCCTGGACGGGTTGCGGTGGATCAAGGGCGGCAGCGTGCCCTTCACGAACACAGAGGTCTTTGCCGACGGCTGCTGCTACGAGACAGCTTCCACCTGGCGACGAGGGGGCCGACCCTGGGCCCCGCTCGTCCGCCAGGGCCTTGGGGGCACCGCTACCAGGGCCGCTGCAGACCATCGAGGGCGCCGAGCTGCTGACGCTGCTGGCCATCCTGAGGCTTTCGGTCGCACCTATCCGCGCCTATTTCGACGCCTCCTACGTAGTCAACGGGCTGCTGGAACAAGGGAGGACAGCGACTACCTCCCACGTGGCGGCCTGGGCGGAGATCTGGAGGATGATCCGGGCTGCGCTGGGCGACTTCGGTGGCGTCGGAGATGATGGGGCCACCATCGTGAATGTCAAAGGCCACGGCGCTCTCCTGGATTTCGAAGCTGGCAAGATTACCATGCGTCGGAGGCGCGGCAGCCACGAGGCAGACAGGTGCGCGAGGTTCGTGGCGGACCAGTTCAGAGCGCCAGCCGCCGATAGGCAGGCCAGGCGAACCAGGGAGTCCACGCTGGACGCCATGGTCAACTGGGTTGCGGTCGCTGGCGCGGAGGCGGCAGAGCTGCGCAGCGACTCCGACTGCGACTACGTGGGGCCTTCTACCAAGGGGCTCAAACTATGCATCGTGCAGCACGACATCATCAAGGTCCCAGGCGGCGTTCATTGTCGCCGTTTCCTGCGGTCGGCGTTCACGGACGCGGGCATCGAGGATTTCCACGCGGGGCACTGCCACGCCGCGCCGTTCGCGCCCGACATTGCTGGCGCAAGCGGTGCCCGCAAGCGCCCTGCCTGTGCAACGCTGGCGTTGGCTGGCCTGGCGGCTGCGCTATGGAGGCGGCGCCCTCGTCGCAACGCGGCGCCAGCGAGGCCGCGACCCAGCGGGAGTCGAAGCCGAGGCCGCCAGAGCCTGAGGTGCGCGGCTCAAGCGATGCGGACGAGGTGGGCCCCAACGGACATGAGCTGAGAACATTCCACGGGTGCAGGATCGGTTTGCGATGCAGCCTGCGCGCCAAGGAGGTCAAGGGCAAGCACAGGGGCCTTGCGGCGAGGTGCCAGCAGGCGGAGAAGGCCTCGGCCCAGGGTGACACTGAGAGGAAGGCGGACAAGATCAAGAGAGGTCTTGGTCCGCGGGCGGGCAAACCGTTGCCCTGGGCGCGATCGCCCGCGCAGTTCCTCACTGTTCCTGGCTGCTTGCGCGGGCGCCTCCTGGTCCGCGCTCGAGCATGTTACCCTGAGCTCTCTCGGCCCGCGCAGCCTGCACCCCTCCTGGTTGCCTGCGCTGGTGCCTGCTTCTCCCTGCCCCTCGTCTGTTGAGGCCGCCGATCGCGGGCCTCCAGTGGCGGCGAACGCGCCGCCTGTGTGGCTGGAGCTGCAGGAAGCTGATCTTGGCGCGCGGCACGCCATGCTGTTGGAGGAGAACATTCTCGGCCGCAGAGGACCTAATCATAGCGCAGCAGGTAGGAGACGGTCTTAATATTGGCGGCCGAGGGCGGAACCTATAGCGCAAACGCTAGCAGACGGGGTGATATTCTCGGCGGCCAAGGGCGCAACCGATGGCGCAACCTATAGGAAGCCGTTTTCTTCTCGGCCACCGAGGGCGCAACCTATGGCGCAACCAATCGGAGACGGTTTAGGGCGCAACCTATGGCGCAACCAATAGGAGACGGCTTTATTCTCGGCCGCAGAGGGCGCAACCTATGGGCGCAACTGATCGGAGATGGCTTTATTCTCGGCCCCAAAGGGTTCAATCGATGGTTCAACTGGTAAGAAACAGCTTTATTCTCGGCGGCCGAGGCTGCAACCTATGGCGCACCCACTCGGAGACGCTTTAGCGCGCAACCTATGGCGCAACCCATCGGAGACTGTTTTGTTTTCGGCCGCAAAGGGCGCAACCTATGGCGCAACCGATAGGAGACGGCTTTGTTCTCGGCCCCAAATGGGTTCAATTGATGGCGCAACGGGTAGGAGACGGTTTTATTTTCGGTGACCGAGGGTGCAACCTATGGCACACCCGAAAAAGAGACGGTTTCGTTCTCCGCGGCTGAGGTCGCAACCTATGGCGCAACCGATTGGAGACGGTTGTATTCTCGGTGGCCGAGGGCGCAACCTATGTGTGCCTCTGGTACGACCAGGACGCAGTCAACGCAACCACCGTGCTGGGGGCCCGTGAGTAGTACGAGGACGAAGCGTGGGCATCCAAATGCGTGCGGGGCTACGCCCGATGTATGCTCGCCGTTTGGGTTGGCGGTGGACCCCCTGCGGAGAGCTGTCTCTTATTTGTATATGCATCTCTCTCTCGCTCTCTCCTGCGCTCGCTCGACGGGGTTCGTTTTTGTGGCTTGGACATAGTTCAGAAAAAGGCGCTTGCTCAAGCAGTTTTCGCTTTTTGACAGCTGCCATCAGCAGGAGCGGGCAGACGACTGCTGCATGGCAGCTGTCGAACCGTTTCGGTATCGTGCACCGTGCCCTCCTCAATTTGGCCGGCGGGTTTCGATGGCACGCCTGCGACTTGGAGGCGGTCACCTGATCCAACTTCAGCTCTCTTGTGCATTGGGGCCCTCCAGGGCTAGGTGCCATTGGACATCAGCAGGATCGGGGACGAGTGGGTTCAACGTGCACGGCGTGCAGACGTCTCTTTTTCCAGCCCCCCCCCCACCAAGGACAAAGACGGTGATGCCGACGACGAGGAGATACGCATCCGGATGGTCGACGACCAGTCCGAGCCCGGTGCGCCAAAGAGCGAAAGGGCGGGCGGCAGCGATGGCCGGATGCCGCGTGCCGAGGCGAGGCCGCGGGAGATCCACTCGGAGCCCCGTGCCCAGCAGCCCTTTCTCCTAACGTGTTGGGCCCGCAGAGCGGGTGTCACAGCGGGTCCCCCAGGGAGAAGCTTGCACGCAGATTTTGCAGTCAGTGGGCGTTAGGGACACTGCCTCCACAGGGGTCGGCACCAATCGTTGAAGTGGTTCTTGAGGGCATGTCGGCGTCCCGTGGGGGTCGGACAGCTTTCTGGGTGTCCGTGGGGGGCGAAGTGCGTGAGGGGTGCCCCAGATTCAAGCTCCAGAGGTCAGCTGAGAGCGTGAGGGGTGCGCCGCATTGACCCCGTTGTGGCCCTCGGAGCGCAGATCACTTGTGTCTTCACGTGTCCAAGTAAAGTATTGCGCAGGAAATGCGCGAAGGTATGCCGAAATGGCAGTGTCGTAGCCATGAAGGCGTTGATCACCCGTATTCCCACGTGTCCCGAAAGAATGTCAAACATGACATGCGTGTGGAGTGGGCCAGAACTAAGCTTTCGCAGCCCTGAGGGCGCATGTGACTCTTTTTTTTTATACGCCCCAGCAGCTGTCACGCGCCTGGGCCAAGCTCTGGGAGCACGTGTCATGTGTATTTTGACTAAATGCGCGAAGCCGATCTTAGCATGTGTTTGCGCATGCTTCTCAGCATCTTCCATTTCACGTTCATCTCATCAGCTTCTCTCGAAGTCTACCACTGCGAGGCCCGCAGGGGGCCCGCCAAAATTGAGCCCGCATGGCGTGAGACACGGAGGGCCCCCAGGGAGAAGTTTCCACGCAGAGTTTGCAGTCAGCGGGTGTTAGGGATATTGCCTCGACGAGGGTCGTCACCAGTCGTTGCAATGTATATTGGGGCCATGTTGGCGTCCCGTGGGGGGTCGAACGGGCTCGGAGCGCAGATCACTCGTGTATTCACTTGACCCAGTAGAGTATGGAGCAGGATATGCATGAGGGGTGTGGCGAAATCGCAGTGTCATAGCCATTGAAGGCGTTGCTCACTAGTATGTGTGCGCGTCAAAAGGTATGCCAGACAGGAAATGTGTGAGAGATGCGCCGCCGAAACCAGGATGTCGCAGCCCTGAGGGCGCATCTCGCTCGTGTTCGTACCTGTCCGAGGGGCTGTCACGCGCGTGGGCCTAGCGTTGGGAACAGGCTTCACAAGTGTTTCTACACGGCGGAATGGAACTGGCTGGCAGAATGTGCGAAACCCGTCTTCGTCTTAGCATGTCTTACGCATGCCAATCATATCATCATCCCCCATGTCATCCTCATCTTGCCATCTATCATTGGAGCTTCCAACACTGCCAGGGCCCGCAGGGGGCCCGTCGAGTTGAGCCCGCAGAGCGGGAGACACGGCGGGCCCCCAGGGGGAAGTTTGCACGCAGATTTTGCAAACAGGAGGTGTTCGGGGGTATGGCCTCGACGTGCCAATCGTTGGGGCCATGTCGGCGTCCCGTGGGGGGGTCATGTTCAAAGCGCCCTCCGATGCAGATTTTCGAGGATGTCTCGAGCGAAATATTGAGACCCGATGCTGAGTTGTCGAGGATGGCCCTAGCGAGCCTGTCATGTTTAAACGTCAGAGTCGTCTCCGAAGCCGAGGTGTCGAGGATGTCCTGAGCGAAATTGTAGTCTTCAAGATTCAGGCTTCCCTCCGAAGCCGATTTTGCGAGGATGTCCTGGGCCATTTCGGGCCATCTGAGCACATTCCACTCGTGTGTTCACGTGCACAGGGAGCCTGTGGGAGCGGACCAGATCCATGATCACGTGCCACGAGGAGACTGGAGGTGCGGCGGCCCTGCGGCTGCCCGTGTGGGGTCCTCTTCGGGCTCCTCCTTCGGGCCGGCGGAGTGCGCGACGTCGCTCCGGATGTTTCTTTCGACTAGACGTAAGAGTGACCTTTCGCCGGAGTGACCTTTGGTGCGGGCACAGATGGGCCCTCAGATGGCTGAAAACGAGGCGGTGGCAGCGGCTTGCGCGCCCAGGTTTGGTCTCCCCGCGGCCCCCCAAAAAGCCGCGCACCAAAGGTCACTCTTACCCAGGGTCACTCTTGCGTGTAGCCGATTCTTCCCCTCCTCCACCACATCCCCCATCTCATCACCTGTGCTCGAGCCCTGGCACGGCGAGGGCCCCGATGGGGCCCGCCGAATCCAATTGCACGCCCCTGCTGGGGGCGGACACCGCGGCCCCACGGTTTGCGGGATCGTGGGTCTTCGGGAGGGAGGTGGAGACTCTGGGAGGGCGGGTGCAGGAACAGGAGGACAACTGAAATGATCCCAGAGGGTGAGAGGGGGGTGCAAGACGGACCCAGAGGGTTGTCCAGTTCGCGGCCAAACTGGCATTTGGAATGATCCCAGAGGGCGCGAGAGGGGGGTGCACGACGGCCCCAGAGGGCTTCCAAAGACGCAGGAAAATTACCGCAGAGGGCCCCAAGACGCTGCGAAAACAGCACAAACGGGCACCCAAAGGTGTGGAGAGTCGCGAACAAAACCGAAGAGGGATATGGAGAGGCAGAAAGGAGCACTCCCAGTCAGTTGGGAAGCTTGCCGGGTTCTCTTGGGAGACCTCTCGGGGTCCTCGCGGCGGGATGTTGGGCCCTCTTAGGAGCCGCTGGGGGCCTCTCGGGGGTGTCTTGGGAGCATTTGTGGTCTCTATGGGGTCCCTTGATGGCTTGCTGGCGGTCTCGGAGGCCACCGTTGCAGGAAAGGGCTTCAAATGGCAGTTCGGATTCCCTCTCGGGGCCTCTGAAGCCCGCTTGAGGGGCCCCCTTGGAAGCCTCTTGGGCTGTCTGGGCGATATAGGAGGACTCGAGGGACCCAGAGGGTCGCACCCAGGAGCAAGACCATATCTGGCCCGAGCCGGTATGGATTAGGCAGGGTGTCATTCTCCCAGGGGCCCCCAGGGGCGACCCTGCAGGTGCAAGCTAGACATATTCTAAGCCTGCTATGGGAGATCCTAGCACGCCTCTGGCCCGTTGAACCAGCGAATTCCTCCATCTTCCTGCCCTCCTCTCGTTCTCTCTTTCTCTCTCTCTCTCTCTCCCCCTCTACATGCAAGGGGATGCGCCGGCATCTCGCCACAGCTCCTTCAGGACTAGGAGTATGATGCCACACTGCACCACGTTGTCCGCTTTGCTGTAATTTATCGTAGATCCTCCGCGGGGGATCCAGGCCATTTGCAAGTAGTTACTTTGCGAGTAGTGGAACGCCCTCGTCTAATCGCTCTTCGTCCCCATCGTCGCCCACTCCTCCTCAGAGGATGACGTTGGGCCAGCTTCGAGGGGCTGCAGCCTCGCGCGCCGTGCCCACCTGGGCACATGCACAGGCACACGCGCCTCGACGCACGCGCTGGGGTCGGCGCCTTGCTCGCCTTTCCCTTCCTCTGCCAACATGAAGAAATCGCGCTGGAGCTGTTTCGCAGTTCCCCTGTGAACAGGCGTGAATGCTCGGAGCTGCGGGTTTCTGGGACCGGCGCTGGGCCCCCCTGGCGGAGCCTCCCGCGTCGCCCTTCCAGTGTTGCAGCTTCTTCTTCCTTTTTTCTGCAGGAGCACCATATTCGTGCCCAGGCCCGTCAAAAAGCGATTCGGGATAAAAGCAATCGGACCCTGGGGAAGGGGTCGGGGGTTCTGGGGTCCAGAGGCTCGAACGGGTCGAGTCGACGCAGCTATGGGTCTCCTCTTCTGCGGACCCCCAGCGTCCTTTTTCACACTTGTGCATGCTGCGCGTTCGGACCGTCACTTTTTACCCTGTGTGCCCACGAATTGCGAGCAAGTGCGCCGCGAGGAGAGGGAAAGCAATAAGGAACTCGTTCATGTTGGCGGCGACACAGGTTTGCTCGGTCGACGAGTCCACTGGTACCTCAAGCATACCAAGCGAACATGCGTTTGATGCGTGTGTACGCGTGCACAACACAGGTGTCGTGTAAGGAATGTTTGTGACGTGATGCAACGTGCGTGAACGCACGCATGCAGATGCAGATTCTACGGGTGTCTTCTACGCAAGGTCCGACTTCTGTGCAGATACTTAGTGGCAATGGCGAAAAGTTTTTTGAGGAAATCAACGTCGCGCTCCCATTCAATCGCGTTGAAGTGTTGCTCTCGCCGTAGCCCCGGGCATATTCGCCCTTCTGAATTTCCAGTAGCTGCACGGATGGTGGATGTATCGTTTTCAACCTGAGTTTCTTGCCCTAACGCCGCGCACATTCGTATTGCATGTTTCGAAAAGTTCAACGGCTGGCCGACGGCGATTTCCTTTCGCAGTGAGGCCATTGTTGGAACATGTCCTACGGAAGCGTTAGCACGTGAAGCATGTACGAGGTTGAAGGGCGGTTCCTGTTTCAAATTGGGTTATCGATGGGTACGACCTCAATGTGTCTGGGACCAGAGACGCAATCTTGAACACCAGTTATACGCACATTATGAGAGCGGATATTTGTGATTCCGACATGGCGTTCTCATGGGACACTTGAACTGAACCATCCTATTTTTGTCCGCGCTCTTTATAGCCCGACGAATTTTTAAGGCCGTTTCATGTCAAAGCAGTGGCTTCGCTTGAATGGCAGGCCTATGAGACGCTGACATTTCGCCTGGGCGCCTCCTTGGAGCGAGGAAGAATTGCGTCAGAGACATCCAAGGAGAGCACTTGGGACGGCAGCATCAATGCTATATCTTCTGAGTTTGCTCTGGTCTGGCCCTCACCTCCCCGATGCCTCCTCGTCTTTTCCCATCGACGGTGACCCCTGGAGGTCAGAGGTCTCGACCCCTTTCCCTGGACCCGTTTTTCATGCGTTTCTTGACAGTTCCGGGGCCCAGTGAGGGCCTTGGGAGGCCGAGAATGGGCGAAGACCTCCCGCAGCGATGTTTTCTCCTGCCCCCTCCCGCTCCCCCGACCCCAACCTAGAGATGCGATGCCGAGGTAAAATTGGAACATCGCGAAACATCATGACCGGAGCTGTAGGCTTTTTTAAAAAGGCGAAATCCGCTGACGCGAGAAACAATGCAACGCCAGCATCCCAGGCTCCCCGACCCCCAATCGCCCAGTCATCACCTGTAGGGGCCCGATAGCCCACTCCCCACAGGACTGTGCGGGAGGTTCGCTGTATCGGGGGCTTATCGCCGATCTATCGGCCATGGATCGCCGTTTCCAGGTCGATGTTCCCCCACCTCCCCCTGAGCTGGTCTCCCCCCCTACAGTCGAGAGCGATTGGAGAGGACACGCCGCGAGAGGACGCGAGACCCTTCAAAGGGCCACACTGCCCTAGGGACGTGGAAGGCATGGGCAGCGGAACACAGGACACACGGGCACCCGTGATCTGGCAATGATGACCTACGAATCAGCTTCCACTGCATCGTCGTTGCCCCCCCCCCTCCCCGGAGGAGCCTCCGGCCGCGGACGGCCGCCCACAGGCCGAGCCGCGACAGGCCGCCGAGCCGGCCGAGCCGGCCGGAGCCGCGCCCGCCGACGCGGGCGCCAGCGCGGCGCGCGCCTCGGCGGCGCCCTCGGTGGCCCGTCGCCGGCCCTCGGCGGCCTCGGCGGGTTCTGCGAGCTGTGAGGGGGGGGCCCCTGCGCCTGCAGGCTCTCCTTGTTCGCCCAGAGTCCCCCTGCAGGGGATCCTGGCCAGGGCACCAACTATACACCAACACCGATCCTGGCCAGGATCGGTGTTGGTGTATAGTTGGTGCCTTCCTAAGGGGGGCACGTCCGACACGACGTGAGCTTCGGGGCTTGTTCACAGAAGACGCGTGCCGTTCTGCTCAGGGGACGGAGCGAGATGAAAGAGCCACAGGGGCAGGGAGCGGCCCGAGAGAGATCTGGCGGGGGCAGGGAAGGGCGTGGCGTCGAACGTGAGAGATCCTTTGGGGGGCGAGCGGGCGGCGTCGGTGACCACCTCCTGGTGATGGGTTCCCCAGACGGCTTCGGCCACATAACGGTGTGTGTGTGTGTGTGTGTGAAGCGATGCTTGAAGTGGTCCTGCGATGCAGAGCGAGGATGGAACGGACAAGCTGTGCCCTCCAGTTTGTGCCGCGGTATGTGAGACCGCGCGTCGCTGGCCCTCGGCGGCTCGTCGCTAGCCCTCGGCGGCGTTTGCCTGGGTCCCCAGACCCTCTTCAGTCGTGAGCGAAGCAGTGTCTTTGCCAGCTTCGGCCTCGGGGGGCCCTCGCTGGGCCCTGGGACCGTCAAACAACTGCTCGGGATGAGAAACCAGCCCGGGGGAAGGGTCCCCCCCCGCCCAAGAGGCCAAAATGGGGCCAAAACCAATGTAAAACCAATGATTTGGGCTTCCTCGCCGAGGCCGTTTTGGACGCCCTGACACCTCGCGACCCCCCCCGTCCAGGTCCAGGGGAGGGGGTAGGGCGAGACCTCCGGCGGCCCACGCTGCAACGCCAAAAACATGACGCTTGGGGTATGTGCCGGTATCGCTGGCCTTCCCTTGTCTTCGCCGTGTCGGGTTTCCTGGGAGGCATTTGTCGCCACGGCTGGGTTCGCCGCGAAATGTTCGCCAGGGCGCACTCCAGCAGAGGTCTGGGGAGTAGCTGCATCAGTATCTGATCAAACAGTGGCGAGGCGTCCTGGCTTGCCCAAATGCCTACCAAATAATGTTTTGATAATGTGTTTTGGTTTGTACGAGATGCTCTTCGAAAATGTCGGGCCGAATAACATTGTTTTTGCTTTTACTCCTGTAGCAAATCATGGGAGCCTCGTGTAAGTTACCATCGCAATTCCGTCTTCAGAGTTCATTTAGGGTCGACTAGCGTCGGACAATCAGTGGGGTAGCGCTGATTCAGGGTCGATTAGCGTCGGCTGGCGTCGAGTAGAGTCGATGTACTGTCGAGTAGCGTCGATTTGCATTGAATCGCGTCGATTTGCAAGGGCCACCAAGATGGTACGGGAGGCTCCCATCGCTTGCCACAGACATGGCAGCGCTCCTGGGTGACAGTAGCGCGTGCACGTGGAACGTGCGCATGGAGAGGCAAGTCGGTCCTTGCTCGAGTCTGTTGGTTTCCCCAGGTCCGCCCGCCAACAGGCCACTAGCGGCCCTCGGGGTGGTCGTCGGGAACAAGAGGCCACAAGAAGCTCCAAACTCCGCGAGGCGCTCGAGAAGCATGCGAAGAGACTCCTAATTACATGTACACGGTATCCAAGAAATCTCAAGCCCAAAATTCAGGCGCGGTTGCGGAATACGGTATGGGCCGAAGGCCATCGATAGGCAATTGACCTGACGACGGACCCGCCCCTGTGCAGTCATGTGTAGCGTTGGGCACGGGTCTCTCTTCATATACTCCGCGCCGCGGGTCAACGCGGACAGCGCTGCTGCGGAGCACGCGTGCACGGACGCGCTGAAGTCTTTGTGGGGCACGATCAGCGTGAAGGGTGTGCCGAGTAATTCGGATGCCTCCGCGCGAACACGCCCACTAAGGCGGCAGGTGAAGCTCATCTGGGCAGGACCCGTGCGAGGCGTGTTTCGAACTGGGCGGGGGGACACCGTGCGAAGCTGACCATTGATGCCATAGGTGGAGTTCCTTCTGGGCTTCTGTGGCATGATTCGCGTGACGGGTGTACCAACATGGGCCTTGTCTCTGGGCTTGTAGGTGGTGCTCCTTGTGGGCACGATCTGCGCGTGATGGGGTGTGCCGCAATTGCCGGGGGGAGAGACGCAATGCGAATCCTGTTTGGGGGGCCGTAGGTGGAGATCCCTGTGGGCCACGATCCGTGTGAGAGGTGTGCCGAAGTAAGCGGGGGGTTGGGATGCGAGCCTTTTCTCTGGGACCGTCCATGGAGCTTCTTGCGGGCCACGACTCGTTGAGAGGTGTGCCGAAGTGAGCGGGGCGACGCTATAAAGCTTCTTCTTGTGCCGCAAATGCATTTACTTGCGGGGCACCATCCGCGTGAAGGGCGTACCACTATGCGAACCTTGGGTTCGATCTGCGCGAGGGGCGTACGCGAACCTTGTCTCTGGGGACGCAGGTGGAGATCCCTGTGGGTCGCGATCACTTTGAGGGGTGTGCTGGCATGGACGGGGGGGCGCTAGGCCAAGTCTGTATCTGGGGCCGTCGGTGGAGCTCCTTCAGGGGCACGATCCGTATGACACCATATGTCCTCCGACGCCGAACACTTTAGACTACAAGCAGAACATGCTAGAACCTGAGCGCGCGCGAAGCGCGCGCGCGCGTTGTTCTAGTCTTTTATCTGTTCTTTTTCGGGGCCTCCCCAGGGGCCAGCTGATGGATCTGGTCGGCTCTAGGTTCGACTCTGGGTCGACTCTACTTCGACTCTAGTTCGACTCTAGCTTGACTCAAGCTTGACTCAAGATCGACTCAGGTTCGACTCAAGTCGACGGACGTTCGACGGAGCATCGACGCATGAGTGGAGCGAGTGGCTCCAGGAAGATCCCCAGAATGAGCATCTGACATGTTTTAGGGGTTGCCCGCCCGCCCGCCTCAATGAGTGGCTCCTTGCAGACGGGTTCGGGGGCAGCGGTCCCTTGCGGGCCGATGCGGGCGAGGCGGCCCGCCAGCGGAGCGGTTTCTCGTGCCTCTGGCCGTGGGGAGCGCGGGGGCTCGCTGGGTTCGCCGCGGGGCGCAGGCCGTGAGGGGCCCCGGTCGCAGGTTCGGCTACGCGTAAGAGTGATCGGTAGCCCGAGTGACGTTTGGTGCGGGCACATCGGGGTCCCCAGATGCTTATGGCTGAATGCGATGCGATAGCAGCGGCTTCCGCGCTCGGGTTTGGCACCCCCGTGCCCCCTGAGAGTCGCGCACCGAAGGTCACTCTTGCCTATGGTCACTCTGGCGTGTAGCCGACGGGTGCGTGTTGCGGGTGGGTGATCGTTGGCAGGTCGCGGGCGGGTGGTCGGCGGGTCGCCAGCGGGCCGCTGGCGGGTTTCGAGCGGGCGGGCGGGATCACCCAATCAAGAATTCCCGAAGCGTTGATAACGATAAGCATCGTGAGGCTATGCAGTTGCCAGCGGCAAGTCCCGCCACCGTGCCGGCGCAGCACTCTGTGGGTCATCGCTACGAACACCGAAGGCCGCAACATTTGAGCATGGGGCCTTGCTCGTTTCTATTCCATGAGGGGCTCTCATGGTGGGCTGTCTTGGAGCTGTCTTGAGCTCCTGTGGGGCCTTCTTGTAGTCCTACGCCATTGCTGTGTCCCTCTCAGATTTCTGGGCAGTCGAATCATGGAGCTGTATTGGGGGCCCATTGGGGCGCAGTTGGGCCATCTTGGGCTTGGGCGGGCCCGCGCCCTTTTGGGGCCGTCTCGGGGCCCTCGGCTGTCCTGGGCAGTTTGGGCCGCTTCTGGAGTTAATATTTCTTCGTCTCATCCGAGGCATCCGAGGCTCTCTCAGAATGATCTTGAGCCGAGACGACCAGGACATAAAAAACCAGAGGAACGGTGCCGAACGGTCTCGCACTGTTCCTGGGTGCGTAGCGTAAGTGGGGGTCCGCGGTGCGGATTCCCATTATTGTTTACATGATTCGCGCCCCGCCCTGCGACCTAGCCGCGACCCACCAGGACCTCATCGCAACCCACCCGCGCTCCACTCCCCAGGCTCATCCAAGTTGGTATTGCTCATCTGGGCGGCGCTCAGGCATGGTTCACGCGCCCTGGGCGTAGACGCCGTGCTGGAAGCTCCGGTTGGGCTTGCCGTCACCCCCCCCGCGCACGGCCTGGACAGTGCCGCCCTTTCCGGCCCCGATCCCCCTTCCCACTCCCCTGCTCCCTCCCCTCCCCGATTCCGCACCGTTCCCGTCCCTCTGAGCATCCCTCGGCTCTCTCATTCCCTTCCTGCCCTCCGCGATCTTTCCCCTCCCACTGCGGCGCACCCCTCCCCGAGACGAGGTGGGGTCGATCCACGCGGAAGGCGACGCTGCGGCGAGCTCGGTCAAGGACACCGGCCTCCGCGTACAGAGTGGGTCCGTGTTCGCTCGGGTATCGCCGTCGCCAGTTTCCATTCCCGAGCACATGCTTCTCGTTATGTCCATCATTTGTTGCTTGGCATTGCCAGTGCCCGTGTTGATTTGATTGTACATGTGAAATTCTATGACATGCGCATCTTCTAAAATACACGTACGAGCATGTATATGCCCTGACTACGGGAACACTCACAATATCATTGAATACTGTTCGCGCTGCCACGCATACCCGCCACCGCGCTTGCGGGTGAATACATGTGTATGCACACTTACTTGCATCTGGATGCATGTATGTGCATGCGTGTTTGGATATGCTTTTGTGTATGCCCAGGCGGCCCCTGCCGCTGGCGTGGAAGAATTGGTCATGTGGTGGTCTGGCGACCGAGTCCCTGGGAAGTGAAAGATGCAGCGGAGAAAGAGCAGGAGGATGACGACGACGACGACGACGACGACGACGTCGACGACGACGACGACGACGAGGAAGCACCCTCTCTCTGCGCATGGCGGCCAGAATATCTCAGGTTGGGAGTGGGCGCAGTGATACGGAAGGATGCGTTCTGCGCGCGCTCAGGCTGGCACCGTCTCCGGCGTGGAGGAGGTGCCTACGCGGCGGCCCGAGGCTGAACCTTCCCTCCGTTTGTCAGCAAGAGGCGTGGCGAGGAGCCCACAGGAAGAGGCCACCTGGCTTCTGCTTGGGCGGCGCGGACTCCCTGGACGGGGGAGGGGGACCGCGGGCGGGGCAGCGGGAACGGGTGCCCAGGAAGGGCAGCGTCCGCAGGGGGCCTCTTCTGGAAAGGGGCTGGGAGCGGGCTGCTCAGCTGCCGCTCGTCGGACGCGTTCCGCGGGGCACGGCTGATGCAGTCGGGGCCACGCTGCTGAGGACAGTCCCCTGGCGCCGCCTGCTTGCCCCTCTGCGCCAGCCTGTCTGTCTCCGCCTGCGTGGCTGCTTGCCTCCGCCCGCGTGCCTGCTTGCCGCCGCCTGCTTGCCCGCTTGCAGGTACTCGACCATGGGCCCCTCGTCAAGCGCAAGCGTCCAGCTTTCTCGCCGAAGACAGCGGGCAGCCGCCGAAGTCCGCGGGAAAACGCCAAAGACCGCCCGAGGCAGATGGGCACACGACCGGGGGGTCCACGGTCGAATACGCGCGCAGCTGCTTGCCGGCAGTGTGCAGCCTGGGCGCGCCCGTCTGCGCCGCCCCGCCTGCCTCCGCGCGCTGCCTCGGCACGCCGGGCCTGGCGCCTCGAGCCCGCGCAGAGGCCGGCGCTGCCTCGGGCGTGGAGGAGCTGCCCACGCGGCGGCCCGAGGCCCGGCCGCCCCTCAGCCAGCCACGGGGGGCGAAGGTGTTGACAGAGCATCTCCGAACCATCCCCAGCCCATCTCCTTGGGGTAGCCCACGCTGCATGGGCCCGTCGTCGCGGCTGGATTCGTGGATGTGGGCATTGGTCGGTTTTGTTTCATCGGCCGGCGTTCGCCAGCGCCGAAGTGGAGCGTGTTTCTCTTGGGGCAGGTTGACGGCACTGGCATCGCAGCGCTGGCCGCTGTGTTGGGCGAGGCTCGTATAATGGGGGCCAAGCGCAGCATTCAAAACAAAACGCAACTCAGGACTGGCATCGTGCTGGGCAGATTACCCAGCAGTGCGCCCAGGCGTCGGGCGGGGCCTCCCTGGGCTGGTTTGGAGGCGGGCGTTCCGATTATTCTTGGGACAGACCTCCCCAGGCCATCGGTCGGGCCTTTGACTGCCAGAAGGGGGATGCCTCGACCCCTAGTCGCCCAGTCATGGCCGATAGGGGTTCGATGATACCCTCCCTGGCCAGGGCTGCGCGGGCTCGCTATCCGGGGCATATCGCCGATTTATCGGCGACGTGTCGTCGAGCCCGCCTCCGCCCCACCCTGCATGCCTCTCAGCTCCTGGCTCGCGCGCAGGCTGGCGCTGCCTCGGGTGTGGAGGAGCTGCCCACGCGGCGGCCCGAGGCCGAGGCCCCCCCGTAGAACGAGGGGGGCGGCGGGGGCGGCGGCGGCGGCGGTGAGGTCGTCGTCGTAGTCGGCGTCGTCAGCCTCGTTATCGTCGTTATCGTCGTCGTCGTCGTCGTCGTCGTCGTTGCCGTCGTCGTCGTCGATGTCGACGCCCTCAACACCAACGACGACGTCGTCGTTTACTACGTCCAGGTCGGCGTCCTCGTCGTCGAGGTGGAGAGCGCACAGATAAGCACAGAACGTAAACTGTCGGTGGCCCGTGCGGATTTTTTGAATTCGCCGCTGGGCCTCCTGGCGGCGCCACTCCCGCGCGCCCGGGGAGGGAGGTCCAGTGCCGACTGGAGAAGTCAGCGCGAACTTTCGACAGTTTGTGTTTGTTTACGCAGCGTGTTGCTCTTCCTCCCTCGTGCGTCACCGCGCTGCCGTTCTGACTGCTGCCGCCGCCATGCCTCCTCCCTTGGCCGGGTGGGGAGAGGCCTCATATTGCCGCAGAACCCGTGGGTGCCAGGACTGCGCCAGCCGGCCTTTTTCGAGTGTTCTTCACTGCTTTTCTCGGGTTGGTTGGCCTTGCTTCCTGACTGTCGTTCGCGGTTTGCTGGGTCTTGCTTCCTGGCTGCCGTCCTCGGGTTGCTGGGTCTTGTCTTCTATGAGTTGCTTGGTAGTGGTTCTTGCCTGCCCTCCTCCAGTTGCTTGGTCTCGTTTCTTTCCTGCCTCCCTCGGTTTCCTTGGTTCTGTTTCCTTGCTGCCAAACACTGCAGGGCAACGCAAAGCAATGTAAAGCAACGCCGAGCAGTGCCAATCCGTATCAATCCATGCCAAGCAATGCCAGGTCATGCCAGGCAACGCCAAGCAACGCCAAGCAATGCCAGGCAATGTTGGGAAATTGCAGGCACTGTCGAGCAATGCAAGAAGCAATGCCACACCAAGCAACGACAAGCAGCGCAAAGCAATGCACAGCAAAGCAACACGATGGCAAGCAATGCAGCAAGGCCAAGCAAAGCCAAGCAAAGCAATGCAAAGCAATGCATACCAATGCGCACCAATGCAAAGCAATGCCTTTCTTTTTCAGTTACTTATTCAGGAAGCTTTTCCCTCATTAGGGTCGCGCTGGGTTCGTGATTGCTACCGCCGCCGCCATGCTTTGTGCGGACACGCTCTGTGCGCGCGCGTGCGCTCAGGCCGGCGCCATCTCCGGCGCGGTCCACGCGGAGGAGCTGCCCACGCGGCGGCCCGAGGCCGAGCGCCCCCCCCCTTTCCCTCCCCTCGAGGGGAGGAGCGACCGCCAGGAAGCAGTGAGGGAAGCGAAAGCTGGCTGCCAGCACGCTGTGGCATTTGAGATATCACTTCCCGCTTACCGAAGGCTCCTGCCCTCCGCGCTCTCCCCCCCTGCCTCCTCCAAGCGTGCTGAAACGGCAATTTTCGGCGGCGCATCCCACGCATGTATCTTTCTTGCGAAGAGTAGCCAATCGCGCTCTCTTCTGCCTGCGCGTCCTGCCACTTTAAGGGTAGGTCTTTGGGAGATGTTATAGCATCGGGAGCATAGCTCGCGCGCGCCGTTGCCTTTGGCCCAAGGCACGGGCGCCCTATTTGCCCGGACACCGCGAGTGTTCGCTACGTGCTGGAAAGATCATTACATCGATCTTATCCTATCTTATCCGCCCACCCCCCATACTGTATTATCACAGCAGCGCGAGAGCGATGGACGCTATTTGCCATCCGATGTCTATCATGGAATCGGATGCTATTTGAGTTACCAGGCTCACTTTCGACTTGGTAGCGGAGCTGGCCGCACTCTCGTGTGGTCAGCTCTTGCTCTTCTTAGCCTCATATTATTCGGCACGGTGACCACCTACCACCCTGCGCCACCACTCCCAGTACGTTTACGAGGATCTATTCAAGAGCAAGAAGCAACACGAGAGGTACGACGTCTAGACGACCAGGTTGGTACCATATACGCTTCATCATTGCGTTACCACCAACCGCTCGGCAACGAGCTAACAGCGCAATACTTGAAGCAGAGGCGGGGAGACCCGCCAGATAGAGCGCCTCGAAGACTCGACAAGGCGCTACCCCAGCGCGGCAACGCGCATAATAACCGTCCTTCTCTACACATTCTCGGGCTAGTCGTTTTCGCTATTATATGGCTCGCGCTGGGGGCAGCAGTCGGACACATGCGTCGTGGAGAAAACAGCACCGATGGGCAAACACATGGCCCACATTGGGACCCTCAAGGTAATGTACCTTTTCGCGAGTACATTTACGAGGTCAACGCATGGCTCAACGTTACAAGCGGACGTATGACGCCACAGGCCCAAGCGGCCGCAATACAACGCGGCCTAGGTGGCCTAGCGAGGACACTCGCCATGAGGGTACCGCCTGACATTATAAACTATGGTGCTGACATCGATGGGGTCCACACCGACCCAGTGACCTACATCATGTTCCTCCTAAGCATGAAGTTCGAACGCCTGGAAGATGAGCGACAGCTCACTTCCGGCACACAACTCATCGACTTCCACGTGCCCCACGGGGAACGAATCGATGTCACCCTTACCCGATTCGAAATGGCCCGACTTGAGGCACAGTCGGTGGGACTCGACCTTCCCAACTTCCAACTGCTAACCACTATCCTATTCCGCGCCTTAGGCGTCGGCAACCAGCGAGCCATGCAACTCTTACAGCCACTCAATCACCAAATGCCCCGAACACAACAACAGTATGATGAGTTGCTGGAGAGGATGCGTTCGATAGGCCACCTATCTGAACGGTCTCCTGGTAACATAGGATCTGTGTTTGGAAGGGGAAGGGGATATGGTAGTGGAAATTTCTACACTACCTTGACTACTGAAGCCCAGCCTGGAAACGGGCCCTCAAGCATATGGGCCGATGACCCAGGAGAATCCACTGCTTTATTAGCAGGGGATCGATCACAACCAAGCTGGGCAACCAGCCCTCCTTCTAGAGAACCACAACCACACCGTTCTTTATGGGGGGAATCAAACCCCCTAACCGACGGTGTATCCACCTACTTGGGAGACGAGGATTTCGACTCCGGCACCGATACAGACACTATATCATCAGATGGTGTTGAAGCTTTAGATTGGTCAGATATCATGAATATGGATAACGACAATCAGCGTGCTGAACATTTGTTCTGGTTACTACAACAGGCTAAACGAAGGTGGAGGAGGTTCACACGAAAACCAGTGCGTCGTGTTAGAAGGAGGATACGGAGAAGTTTTAAGGGAAAAGGTAAAGGTAAGCGAGGTCGTCGGAGGTTGAACGGACGAGGCATCGCGGCATTTCTCCAGAGGCTCTCAGATGAACAACATGATGAGATATTCTTTGGGGGAAAGGGCCGTGGCAAAGGCCGTAGAGAGACCTCAGGAAAAGGCAAAGGTAGGCGGGGAAACCCGCGAGGTAGAGACGGCCAGGTTCTCAAATGCCATGAATGTGGTAGTGCCGATCATCTTGTGCGAGATTGCCCAGTGAAGGGAAATGGAAAGGGCAGGTCGACCGAAGTCCATTTTGGCTCAAGTGAACCATTCATTGAGTATCTAAGCCTCCAGGACTTTGAGGCTATGGAGCAGATATTTTTCACTTGGGTCAGCTGCATGGACAACGTCGACGAGCTCGAGGCGCATGGTCATGGATTGTACGCGTACTACCTCGAGTATGTTCGCAGGTTCGTTGAGGGCAACAACGAGCTCACTCCCGTGGAACACGGGACGCTGGGAAATTACCCTTTATCTTTCTTCGACTGGATGTTCGGGAACCCAGGCGACATCATGGCCTACGAGAGCAGCGACGAGGACACCACTATAGAGGCTTCGCCCTCCGAGGTTCAACGACACCTCGAACCTCCGCCCGAAATCCCGCCTGGAAACAGGCCTTCTTTGATGGGAGAATATCCCCAGACCACTGAAGACTTAATTGAAATGGAGTCTCAGGCATTTGTTCAGGCCTTCATTGCAGGCGAACCAGATACTCCGTTTATACCTCCTGGTTCGCTTGCTCCAGGCGAATATGGACCGCGCACCCTTTTGCAGACCCTCATGAGGATGCATGAGATACTTATTACTGGTTATCCTGAGAGTCAAGAACATATCGAAGCTGACATTATGAGAATGCAGGATACTGACGCTTGTGGTAGCTCAGAGCTGTTGTTGGCAGCTCTGACTCTCATTGACAGCGTGCATCCTCTGGACGTGCAGAGACACTTGATATACTCCCGTGGTAGATGGCGTAATGCTCTAGAAATGGCTATTGCTATGCGCGGTCATGATCTTCCTCCGCCAGGATGGGGTCTCCAGGCGGTGGGAATGTGGCCAAACCATGCGGCCATGCGCAACATTGCCGGGCAGCCTGTGCTCGGCAACGAGCCCGAGCCGACAACGGAGCCTCCTACCCCGGGGCAGCCGAGCGACGCACAGACGCCGGCTATGCAGGGAAACCTGCCTGTACCAGATACGCCAATGGCCATCATCATCGGTAGTTCGACATCAGAAGAAGTAGAAGGCGATGGTTGCGGGTTAGATGAGGATGACGTCACCATCCTCATGATGGACGTGAATGGTGAGGAAGAGGTTGACTTCGATCCTGATGAGTCTGAATCATCATCACCATCGGCACAAGCGCCATTTGCGCCGAGCTCCATCCAGCAGGGAGACCTGCCTCCATCGGACGATCCATCTGGGATCGCACAGGAGCCTCCTCAGGCACCTCCACCGGGTGCCGCTCCTGCTGCTTCGGCAGCTTCTTCTGATGAGAACACCAGAAGGTCTCGTTCCCATACGCGCGTCAGAGAAGAGCCACATCCACAGGCTCGACTTCCTCGTGAGTGGAGGCAGGCTGGCCCAAAAGAACACGCTCTCAGGAGAGGAGGCCAGCTACTTCCGTATAACGATCCAAGACGCCGGAAAGGGGAACACTCGGCCTTCGGCAAGGGCAACCCTGCCTATAGGGATAGTGAGGGCAAGGCCATCCGCGGAGGTTATCAGCTTGCAACAAGTATCCGCCGCCCTGAAATTCAAGAAGCGCGGACTCAGCTGCGAGACATTATCGCGGCTCGCAAGCAGTATCGGCCTCACGCAGCTTGCGGACCTTGCTCCGAGCCGTTCCAGAACCATAGGCCAGGATGCCCCGTTGGCAACAACGAAGGTCTGAGCCCCAACCGGGGCAAAACCCCTCACAAAGATGGCCATCCGCTACTTATCCCGATGACACCAGAGGAGATCGCCGCAGTGAATAATCGTCTCGGGATCTTGAGCCACTTGGATCCGAAAGAAGAAGAGAAGCCTACTCCGGTTCCAAGGGGACTGGTAGCCACGACCCAGGAAGAGAAAGACGCGCTCTTTAGTCTTCCTAGTATGCGAGGAAACTCGCCTGGCGTTTCTAGCCAGTCCCTACAACCAGAACCGACAATCAAGGATGAGAAAAAGGCTCAACGTGTGGCGGAGGACGAGGAGCGCACGCGGACAGCATAAGAACGCACACGCGAGGCAACTCGCAAGATGTTGGAGGATTCCAGCAAGATCTACATGAAGGGGGCTACGAAGCCCCCACTCCCACTAACTTCGAAGGCTAAGAGTGAACCCCCGACACCTAAGCCGTCCTCGGGGCCGAAACCGAAGGTGAGCTCTCAGGACCCTGGGCCAGACGTGCAGATGGAGGTGCCTCGAACTGAACTTCCGAGACCGCCGATTGGCGCAACTCCTACACAAGCGTCTGAGCCCAAGCAGCAACCTCAGGACCCTGTGGAGGAACGAAGACGCCCGCCTAGTCGCAGCAGCTCCATTGCGAAAAGGGCGGCAGCTTTCGAGCGCAGTGGGTATGCCCCTGCGCCAGCTTCGCCTGTGGCGGCCCGTTCCAGGAGGTCCGATGAAGGTGCTATGTCGAGGGGTACCTGGGTGCCGAAGATCAGGGGCAGCGCCAGTCGCGCATCACCGCGGGGAAACCCGCCAGGCGCTGCTGCTTCAGCTTCCTCCTCTTCAGGAGCCGCAGCCTCTTCAGCAACAGAAGTTCCGATGCGGGGAAACCCGCCCGTGGTTCAGCTGCACCACCCAGGTGACACGTCCTTCACTGGTGGGACTCCGAACGTGATCAGGGATAGACTTGCGCTTCGGAAGATCCCACCGATACGCTCGGTGGATGAGACATTCATGAAGGAATGCAGGAAAGCTGGAATCCATCCCACATCAAATGACATTCTCAAACAGCTGAGTAAAGCTCTCAG